GATTGGCCGCATGACGTGTACAGCAACGCATGCACAGGATGATTTATGAAGGGGACGCAGGAGACACGCAGTGTTGGAGGAGAGGCAGACGGGATGTTAATGGAAGAAAATAGAAAAAAATGTGGAAGAGCTATCTCCGTTATTATGCATTTCCGCCAGTAATGTAATAGATGAAAATTATCTTATAATTAGACGTCTAATTCGAATATGATAATAGATTAGTGGTAGGAATGAACGGAGCTACAAGAAAATAATACCCCTTGAAGACTCTCAGGTATCTATACGTATATGATACTGGTGTACTAGTAGAGTTCTGAGACCAAATTACACATGGATGAAAGATTTAGGGAGAACCTTGGGGTACAGATGACAATATGAGAAGACTTACAGGTCCTGGTGAACATCTGGGATGACCTCAAGATGCTGGCTAAGATTTCAATGAATATTGATGCAACTGTAAAATTCTGAGGGTAAGATTTGAAAGGGCAGTGTGGTACTGGACAAGATGGGGGTTAGGGATATTGGCAAAAGAATGGAAATAAATTACGAGGTTATGGTAAAGATCTGAGGGGATATTAGGGTACTAGTGAAGATTTGATATTTGGGGGATCCAGAGAAGACGAGGGAAATTTTGGTTACTGGAGAAGAGGCGACACAGGAGCACTAATTTTAATTCACAAGGATGAGTAACACCTAAGTAAATATTCAAAGGGATTCTGGGATACTACTGGTGACACAAGAGAAATGGCTTTCAACCTGCAGGTCATGAAGCCATCTCTAAAAGGAGAGGTGGTTGTAAAGGAGACCTGATCATACTAATTCCTGGAGTTGGAGAAAATATATGATTGCAGATTTGCTCTCCCAAGTAGATGATATACCAAATGATATGGTACAGTAAAATTTCTCAAGTCTCCTCAATAATTCAGGAGCAAAGGATACAGTTTCAGGACTGAGCACACTGTACGACCAAGATCAGCAGCTTTCCAGCTGTCAGAAACAGCTAATCAGCGATTGTTACTGTGTCCAGCAACAAACCTGTATCAGGGTTTTCCATCCTTACCATAGACAAGAGACTAGAAATGATGTGAACCATTAACTGTTTGTCATCTTGTCACCAAACCCAGAATTGATCACCTGATGACCCAAGAACAAGCCCAACCATCCTAGCAACTTGTCTTTTCATTCCCTCTCCCAAGGGTGGCCAGACTTTAGTGAGGTGCGAGCTAGTTTTTCCAGTCCCCTAGCGAGATCCACCATCCCAGCCCTTGCCCCCAGTAAGAAAATTTTCATTCATGTAAACTGTCAAGCTTACCTTCCTGATGTGTGATGCAATAAAAAAAGTATGTGACACTTTAATGATCTCTTACATAACCGATGGAGGATGCGATGGTGGCCCACGGCAGGTGTCATGAACTGAGGGTGTACCGTGCTGAAAATGTTCTGGCATGCGAGTTCGATCAAAAGCTAACCTAACCAAACCTAATCTAACCTAATCTGCCCTATCATAATCTTATCTAATTTGTCCTAACCTAACCCAATATTTTATTCCAGTGGGTAATCTCGGTACGCCACACAGGGTCGTGCACCAACTGTTGACGAGAGGCTATACTCTGCCAGAAATTGGTGCGCGATCGACCGGTAGATCGCGATCAACGTTTTGGCCACCCCTGCCCTATCCTGTATATTCAATTTCATTAAGAAGTTAAATAAAAATGTATAAATACTACAAAGTGTTTAAGCCTTACAAAATGCTTAATTCATATTTGAATTCTCATGGTGGGTTGTGGCTAAGCCAGTCAAAGGGATACCCTGAGTGTTATAGGTTGTAAACTATTGCAGTAGAGCAGAGAAGCCATTAGTAGAAAGGGCGCCCCCTTCATTTTCTTCATACTGGATAATGTACAGTATTACTTATAAAACCCAGGCACAAAGCAATTATAGGTTACTGATGTTTGTGTATGTCTTGCTGTTGTGGTTAATCACAGGGGATTTTGAATACTAATGTATTTTTAGTCCAAGTTAGCTTGTAAAATAAATTTCATTCAGTAGTGAAGGCTCCATATTCAAGGATATCCTTGAAGCTATTAAAAGGATTCTAGTACAACCTGGAGCTGGACTGAAGATACATTTGGACCTGTAGTCTCATGGTGGTGATAAGTGTGGGGGCTTGAGGAACTGATAAAGGTGCACAGGTCCTTCAGACTGATAACCGTTCAAGGGATGTAAGGCATTGTTGAGGGTTCAAAGGCCACAAATTAATTGCTGAAAACACAAGACAACATATGTGCTATGTTTTCTTATCTGACCAGGACTGTTATGGTAACAGATCGAGGGGCCCTGTGATCATGTGCAGTTAGTAGAATGGTACTAAGATGCACTACCATTCTACTACCAAAGCAGAATGGAATGCCTCAAATAAAACTGCAATGCACTGGATAGGTTGAGAGACCAACATGTTAACACGTCTTCCTGTTGTGCTGGAAGTAGATTATTATCACCTCAACACTTTAACTGATTGTTGGGGAACAGCTCTACAGTATGCATCACCTCAGAATAAAGTGAACATTTGATGATAAATAATACAGTAATAATAATAAACAAATAAAAAGTACTGTATGTAAAAATAAAATAACAAATATATAAAAATTTCACTGAAGGTGAAAGTGGTCATTCAGGATTTTTCTTGTTCTACACCACATTTGTAGCACGGACAGCAATATATACTCTGACTCAAATTCTTAAACTGAAAAGGAGCCGTAACTTGGGTAAATAAAAATGGAGAATGTTTATTATTAAATCAGAACATTTTATGCATAACACATTCAGTAAACCCATAAAGTCCTTCATAATTTATCAAACAAACAACAAATCATGTCAACAGACAGAAGGAGGGAAAGAGGTAATACTGTACCACATACAGTACAGTACTGATAATCCCTCCATATTCTCTGGCCAGGACATTAGAAATGGAAGAATTTACCTTATTTTACCTAATGACCACCCACTATAGGTGGCCATGCCGAGGGAAGGCAGCGGCCTGTGTAGGATCCCTCCATTGTTCTTTATTATTTTGTCAAGGGCTGTTTTGATGCCCAGCATTGTTCATGATTCCACAGCTTGGACTAGTAGATGATCCCATAGGTCTACCACCATCTGAGTGAAGAAGTATTTCCTTATGTTCATTCTCCACGATAACTTAGCGAGTTTGTAGTTATGTTCCCTTATGTTTGGTGGTGCGTGACATCACAAAGAAATGGCCCGGGTTCACGTTTTCCATCCCTTTCAGAATTTGCCATATTGTGCCTTGCCTGAAGGGTTGTTAGTCCTAAGTCTACTTGGATAATTGAGATCGATGTAGTTCGGGAAGTATCCTAGTCGCTCTGTATTGCCCCTTTCTAAGGATGTTAGGCCTTTCTGGAGGTAAGGTTTCCATATCTGCATTCAGTAATCCAGACTAGGTCGTACTTTAGATTTGTACAGTTGAAGGAAAATTTTCCGATCTTTGTATTTGAAGATAAGTTTCATAAGTCCAAAATCTCGGTTTGCTATACTCACTGCTGCCCCCATTTGTTGTGCTGCCTTCAGTGAATGATTTATCAAAATGCCAAGATCTTTCTCCTTAGACAGTTGTGATTAAGGTTGTTGTATCCTACATGTAGTCTTGCATTTTGTAATGTCAGAGTATTTGCCAGTCTAGAGACCATTTGAACAGCTCATGCAGGTCTTTCTGTATTGTTGCAACATCGTCTCGATTTGCTACCTTACCAAATATCTTTGTATCGTTCACAAACTTGACATTATGGCTCCATATGTTTTCATCTACTTTATGTCATTTATGTAGATCACAAACAAGGTGAGTCCAAGGATAGAGCCCTGTAGTACTCCACTGAGAACCTTCCCATTCAGAATGTACAGTACTCCATTTATTACCAAACTTTGTTGCCTGTCGTTGAACCAAATGTCAATCCACTTCAAAATCTTCCCTGTGACACTGTATGCCTGAATCTTAAGAGTTTGGTCATGCATGTGGGACCTTGTCAAACACCTTGGTCCACATAGTCTGTAACCGTCTCCAGGAATGCAAATAAATTAGTCAGGCAGGATTTACTATCCATACATTGATGAAACTACCCGGTATGCTCGATAAGGTGTTGAATGATGGCGTCCCTCAGAATTTTCTCAAAGAGCTTGCACATATGGGATGTTAGGCTGATTGGCCTGTAGTTTTCTGCTGCATTTTTCCTACCTCTCATGTGCTGTATACAGAGGTATCGTTGACTGATTTCCAGTCCCTGGGAGCTTTATCCTGATCCAAGGATTTCCAGAATAAGTCTTAGTGGGGTACAAATCTCGTCTGCCACTTTCTTTATCACCTTGGTCTGTGCTCCGTCCACTCCAGGGCCTATGAATTCTTTCAAGCTAGCTACCAATATTTTCCTTTTGATGATTCTGTAATTGCTATCTCTCAATTAATTTTTCACCTGAGGTATATTTTCTCTTAGGTACTGGTATGTAATTCATCGTCTTGTGTGAACCGAGGCAAAATATTAATTTAAGGTGTCAGCTGTTTGTCTGTTACTCTCGAGGGCTACGTTGTTTTCATCCTTTAGAGGGCTGGCAGTATAGGGTATCCTTGGTTTTCATTTTATTCCTGGCATACGCATAAAGACTCAATAATTTGGGCTAGTTTCATCTTAACGTGATATTTGGCACAAAGTCTGAATTAAGCAAGACTGCAATCATCAAGTGTGAGTTGAAACCACAGCCTCAAAGGTCTCTACTTGTGACTGGTATTTACCACAAGGACCAATTGAATATGAAGATAATGTTGTTAAAATTAGAACTCCTTATTAACAAGTCTCTTATAGGAATACAATGCTTAGACACAAATCTTGAAAAACAGACCACCAGACTATGGTACCTAATACAACAACAACAGCAGCAACAACAACAAATGGCCAAGCAAATTATAACAATGAGAGTACTGTACTGTACATTACCTGGTCACCAGAAGTCTTGACAAACGTGGCTTTAACATTGCCACCAGAACCACCAGCACTCATCCCAGTCAGTTGGATGGGCAAGTGGCCACCCTTGCCACCCATCACCTTAATCATCTGGGGCTGACCTCCTGTTCAAGACAAAAAAACAAAAAAACAAAACATGTAAAAATTAAGCTTCTGGTAGTCTTTGCATCATGTACTTTGTCCAATATGAGGACAAAAGCACTAAAACAAAAAAAAATATTAAACTAACACTCAACACATGACACTTGACTGAGTGTAACACAACATAATCATCACCTCACTGACTGCTACTATAAATAACCTGTGAAGGCGCTCTCTATCTCCGTAATAAAAACTCAAATGGCCAAGCAAAAAAAGAAATGCATACAACATCCACTTAACATTAATAGACAAAACACTGTGAATCTCCAGAATTACACAAGGCACTCCTAAACTATGAACTGCAGCAGACCACCACCAAACAATGACAAAAATTAGAGGTAGATTAACATAATCCATAATACAGTACAGTAATACCTCGGTTTACGCGGTTCTCGTTTACGCGGTTCCACATTTACGCGGTCCCCGCCAGAACCGGAATGCCCAATCTATGCGGTGCATCTACTCATATACACGGGTGAAGTATAATTTTTTCTATTTAGCTCATAAAATTCATACAAATTATCCAGCCAGAATATAATTTACATTGCTGGAATTCTTACAATATGATGATCATTTTAAATAAAAACATCATCGATTTTGCATTAGATACACAAATTTTAGATCTAATGTAAGAATTTTGTTTACATAGAGCAAATATGTTATCTTTTGTGCAAAATATATGACGCGTATATTCAAAATATTCCTGGTCTTGCAAGGAATTCAGCAGTCAATTATATTATCCTAACTTTAGTCTGAGGTATTATTTATTACTATACCTTAAAATCTAGTGTTTTCACCCAAACATTTCTCAGAAAGGGAGGAGCCAGTGAGTGTGGGAAGAGGGGGAGTTGAGTCCATTATTTGAATGGACATTAACCTGGCGACTGTATTTCTCTTAAATATTAATTGTGTGCATACCATCATAAAATTAAGATGTTATTTTTACTACAACATAGGTATTGTGTCGGTATTGTCGGAAAAAGTGGAGTTTGGGGGTCGGCCCAGTCTCTATTTCAATTAATCCCATGTTCTGTTATTCCATTTACGCGTTTCTCGTTTTACGCAGACCTCCGTTGGTTCAGTTGACCGCGTAAATCGGGGTATTACTGTATGTACAGTTCATACAACATACACGACAACTGTTTTCATGTTTCAAGTCTACCTTATAAGTCAAGTACAGTAGCTACTGCAATTATTGCCAGCAAAATATAGCCTCAATATTTCACGTGAGCACATTTGCAACACTAACTAGTATGATAAGACCACTAATTTGCAGTGTTCTTAAAACCCCAATATCCTAACAGGGAGGAATGGCAGTTCCTCTCTTCTCTGCCACCTATTATAAAGAGTAGCTATTGTGCACTGTAAATGATCCAAGGAAATTAATGAATTTTTACTACTCAAAAATACTGTGCATATATAGGTCAACCCCCTCCTTTTTGCATTTTTTTTCATAAAACTTATTCTGCTCATGTATACTGTACATGGTATATACTACTGTACTATACCACGATATGTACTAATGTAGTCCCTATTTTAATGTCCCCTCATTCCAGCAGATTCCACAAATTCCTTGAATGTATGTATACGACAGTTGCTATATAAACCTCCAAAATAAGGTAATGTGTTTCATTTAGAAAAGCAACAAGTACTTTATGCATTTGTCTCCACACTTTGTGGCAAATCAGTGTCACTAATCCATGTCAAATTTAAGCAGATAAGACTTTGGCAATGATCAGTACTCTGCTCCTGCTCAAATTAAAGCTAGTTCAGTGATGATTTGTTTCAATTTGTCAGAGCATGTATTGTCCATGGAAGCACTCGCCTATAAGCCTCAGAGAAACAATTACCCACCAACTTAAGTTTGTTAAGCTAGATTAGTTCATCATGATTTTGCAGTTCTCTTCCACTTTTTAAACATTTTATTTGTTATAAATTTGCCCAGAGCTAGTGCAGAGCATGGGAACCAAAGTGAACTTTATATTTCAGTTATGTTAGGTTTTGTTGCTTCACATCATCATCATTAACACTACAGATAAAAAAAAGCAAGTTCAGAACAGTACTGTACTATAGTGGTCTGCAATTATGGCTGCAATAAGTCAGCAGGTTCCCAAGATTTTTTAAACTGCACACTAAGTGATGCATTTCTAGACTGTCCCATAGAGCTCTATGTCCCCCTATACCTCTAGCTGTGCCTCTGTATTCAGTACACAGTCATTGTGGAGGAAATACCGTAGCTACTATTGTCTGTCTCCATCTCCTAGTAAACAAAACTATCCACTTCATGCAGTACTGTGCAGGAGCTCTTCACTATGACTAAACCAAGCTAGATTACTGATTCATTCTTTCATTACCCATTAGCCTGCATAGCTAACTATTTTCTTCTTTTTTTAAGATGAAAATACAGTATATTTCGGAGAACTTTCACTTCTTGTAGAAGTTGCAAACACTGTACAGTGCACAACAAATTTAGTGTAGCTGCAGCAAAAGGATTAATGGTTTTATCAAATCTGGATAAAAATCACATCCCTACTGAATATCTTTACAAAAGTGTCTGCTAAATATTGCTGCTCCAGATATACAGTACTGGTCATTAATGTGATCACTGTTCCCTCCCTTGACAGAAATCACCAAATATTTCTACACTTTTGAGTTAAAATTTCCAAACTCTTCTCACTTTGTATGGCATAAATGAAGATACAACTCTGCTTCCAAAGGCTTTATTCTGCCCATAAGGATTTATCGAGCAATGTACACTGTGACTTCGTTTCAATTCAGTTGGGTAATTTTTAACGCTCAATCAACAGTAGCACTCTGACCTACACATACAAAGTCTACATTTACATTTCAACATCTTAACAATAACTAGCAACAAATATTACTCAGCATAGACTTTTCTCCCACGACAAAATAAATTATTTATTGCGGATAAGATAAACCAACCATAACTACCTAACCAGACCCAACTTCCTAGGATTGAAAAGTTTTATCTTGTCTACTTTAGGTAGGTTTTTTAGGGTGAGTTTGTTTTTTTATGTAGGGAATTACTATATTTTAGGATGTGCAATTAACAGGAGCCAAAAAATCAGCAGGAATAAAGTCTGAACATTGCAAAGAACATTTATCTAACTTTATCCCTACTGAGTTTTGGGCTCCTGTTTATTGCACGTCCTAGAATATTGGGTTATCTGATAAAGAATATGACCTAGACTTATATATATGGTCAACAACAGGAATATAAACTTGTCAGTCCAGCATGGTGGTTCAAGTGACACACACACCATATTCATTCTTAAAAAAACAAACAAATTAAAGTGCAATTCCTCCATCCATTTATTTCTATTCGTGAGGTAAGGAAGAAGTTTTCTTCTAGAGCATATTTCCCTAAAGTGGTTTCCTCTTATGTGTCGGGATTCTTTAGTTTTACTCAATATTCAGTTAATTGTTTTTCCAATTAGAAATTTCTGATTATGCACTGAACCTAAAGTTAAAGTAAAATGGTATAAAAGACAAAGGCAGTAATTTATTTTCCTTCATATTTATTTCTGACCTAATTGTCTTACATTAGAGATTTGTTGTTTATTACCTTTTAGGTAAAACATATCTGGTACTACAAACTTGAATTAAAATTTTAGGATTTCAGGTAAGTTAGAACTAAATCCAACCTAATAATAAAAAATAGTGAATATGCAGAATCATTACCATACGTGTCATAAATAAGAACATAATAAACATTTAACTTAAAGGTTAAGATGATGAGACAAGAAATAGAGGCATGGAAGGGATATAAACTTTAACCAAACAATATAAGCTCAGTTTTTTGGTCAAATAGCATTCAATATCACAAAATAAAAGTAAGTTGCTAAATGAAATAACACTCAACACTGTACAATATCATGTAGAGAACCCCAAACTCATACACTTAATTCATCATATAGCTGTACTGTAAAGCTTTAGTACAGTACAGTAACATGTCTGAGGATCACAAGACGTCTCTCTCTATCAATGTCACTCCCTTCTTGACGGATATTAGTTATATGTAATTTATAAAAATAAAAAAATAAACTTACAAATGTCACCCAGATGGAGCTTATAAATTTTCATATAAGCACTTATCATTTACAGTTCACTTTCAATGAGAAAAATCACTTGCACTTGTTTGTTTAACGTACATACTAAAAAGACGAGATTCGCCTTATATACCAAGAAAATCCTTCAACAATTCACTGTTGTATCTATACAACCAAGAGACCTTGACAGTGACTTCTCTACTCAACACTCCCAACAGTTCCCTCAATTATCATCTACAGTTCACTGCTCAAGTTATTGATTTCCATGGCTCCCCCATTGTCCACACGTTACATAGCCCCTTTACCCGTAACTACTCGAACAAGATATTAGTTGTGCACATATCAAGCATGAGGGTGTAAAAAAATACATTTGAAAGTTGGGGACCTCGGACACGAAGTTCAATTTCAAACGACGAATTTTAGAAGACATTGACGATAATGTAACGTTGTATCATGCTGTGTCCACCATACATACTCAATAAACGGTTAATAATCGTAATCACTTCATTAGCCCACCATGATACACAAGAATAACAGGTATAAAATGGTTTAAATGACTGACTGTGGACGGGACTTGGGCCTCCCCCTCAACACCACTTACCATTTGGGTCCGGGATCAACAGTGTTGTGATATTCTGCTGGTTTTGTGTCATCCTGGCCTGCTAGATTATTCCCGCTAGTTCGGGATCTCTTCAACAGTTTAAATGACTCTTCCAATTAGCCGTAAACTAGGCACAGAAAAACAACAACAAATCGTTCACCGACAGCAGATTCCTAAAATGGCGAGTTCATCACTCCCTTTTCGGACAGCACATCTGCCTCGTATGGTCTACATTTTGGAATAATATTGATTAGACACGATATCGCATACATTCAGTTTTGACCAGTTATCATTAAATGACTCAGATAATGAGATATGAGCCGAAAATGGTGCACATTCTCGCAGACTCTTCCTGAGGAGAGTGGCTATATGATCTTGGCGGTGGGCACAAAGCTCGCATTCTGATTGGTCAATACATGTCACGTGGTACAGAGAGGAACGGAACGAGAGGAATACAGATGAAAACATTAATTTTCTCCTAATAAACCATTTCAATTGTCTCTGATACAACGAAAATAATAACAAAATACATTATTAGACTTATACTGAGAAAGATAGCTCTCTATATACTATTTAAAGGAAATTTGAGCCACAGTCCCTTAAGCCCGCCAGTAGTGAGTTGTCCAGCGAGATAGGAACGGTCTGTCGCTCCAGCCAATCAGAGAGCGTCTTGGGTCTGTCCTCATATGGCGCGAAAGGCCAGTTTGTAGCAGACGTTGTGCACCTTAAAGACAGCAAAAATATATTAATAACGATATTTATTCCAAGTAATTCGATTATATATTAGAAGTTTTTATCTTATGTAAGGTGTATTTACTTTCTGCTGGAGGAAACATGTACTCATATCAAAGAAACTTTTGAAAATATGACATTGGTTGATCTATGCAACAGGAGCGAGGACTACTAGGAGAGATTATAGGGGCAGAAGAATCTTTGTTAAGAATGTCAGTTTGTGTCTCAGTCCTTAACGGTAATAGGGTGAGTTATGCTATTACTTTATTGTTTCTCCAGCTTCTCTTTATTTTCGGAAATTAAAACCCAGTCCCAACGTTCACTTGTCAAGTTTCTCCTTTTCAGTTATTGTGTGTGTTCAAGAGACTTCAAGCATAACTTATGTGTCATGTAGTCTGAAAACATAATATTGTTATTCTCCGGTTTATAATGCTACAGTTGTTTTTATCAATGTCTAGTTATTGTGCACTATGCCTAATACTGCAGACCACTGGGGCCGATATTGTTAAGGTAAAGATTGTAGTGAACGAATTTATAAGTGTTTGAAGTACAGTATCTGGACATACTGCCTCACCCACTGATTAGTATGTACAGGATATTGTGTGTGTGGATGAAAATTAGAAAACATACAGACAGAACTTGTATTAGTGACTTATTCCCCCTCCCATTCTCTTCCTCCTTGACAGTATTTGTATGTTTGTCAGTAGAATAGGTTGAGCGCTGGTGATGAAAGAATATATTGAATTTTGAAGAATGGCCATAAAGATCGGAATGTGTTAGAAAATAAACTAACCTGATTAAAAAGTAGTTGAAGGATTTAATTAAATATGAGGGAACACATATTGAGGTATCAAGTGTCAGTACAATGTCTACATCATTAGTGAGTTTGTTAAGTTATCAGTAAGACGTGTTAAATATATCGCTGGTGTGAGGGGGAGTTAGGGATATCCTGTCTCACTTGTTAGGTGTGCTGACAGCGGCGTCGGGATTTCCCTGAGACAAGTTACAAATGCGACAACTGGGACATACAGTAGATATATTTTACGTACCTTTAATATTCAATATTCAGTAGAGCTTCATGTGTTGCTTTATAACTATTCTTGTTTCCATTATGATTTTAAATAAGATATGATACAGTAGCTTGTAGTCACGATTTTATTTGGAAAATCACGTTAATAATAATGTTAGCAATACTGTACAGTAATTACTGGTTTTTAAGTGCTTTTATATTCTTGAAATCTTACATGGGCACCACAGTCTTCTTCTTGGTGATAGTAAGTTTATTAATACGAATGCCAGTCAAAATAACTGAATCATCCTCTTGATTCTGGCCAATTTATATACTTAATGCTATTCTACAGTCAACAGGATGCGGCCAGCTTATAGATCACACGACACACCGCCAGTGATCTGTGTTGATTTTTTACGCTCGCCTTTTAATTAAAAGATACTGTTGCCCTTATTATTAAACTGCAAAAGAGGTCGGGGTGATGTGACCCTGGGTAAGCTCTCACTTTTACATGGAGGTGTCACAATAAACTGAACCAGTTACTCTTATTCTGTCAGCAAAGCTCGTTCCCACCTAATCTCTCCCTCAAAGGGTGATGTGCAAAATTGAGGTCAATACAGAGCGATGTACTTGTTGACATGAGATACCGTTGTGAGTTAGGTCAGGTGAGATCAACAAGAATCATCGATATTGTTGTGACTTGTGTCAAGTCAGGAGCAGATGCAGGGGGGGAGGGGGGATCTTGGGGGTCCGGCCCCCTCCCCCCCCCATTTTTATCAGAAAATTCCAATACTTTTCTTTAATGCAGTATTGTATTCAGGCGGTTTTGTATAGTAAAGGGTAATTACTATTGACTTAAGAATATCTCCTATTATCAAGTGCACATGGCTTCAAAATACCCATGCTATTGGTAAGATTTAAAAAAATAAAATCTGGGGGCTTACACCCCCCCCTCCCATCCCAAGCCCCGGCTGGGTGAGCTCCCTCTGCTCGCCATGGTCCCCCGCCCCCCCCTCCCTCCTTTGATATTCCTGGATTTGCCCCTACAAGTGATAGGGCAGGTTGATAATCTAATACAGTACTCAGCCGCTAGTGGGGCCAAGTTCCCCCTCCCACACTCCTGGAATCGTTCCACAGGAGTTTCCTATCAACAATCCCAATTATTTGTTGGTACAGTATTTTACAAAGGAAAGTGTGTGTGATCTTAAGATTTTGTATGGTGTTCCCTACATATATAGTTGGGTTGAACTGAATGACTTCATTCTTAATAAACAGCTCATTAGCTAAGCACAGGAGCAGCTCAATGTTTATCATAAGAACAGCCATAAGTACAACACCTCTTAAACATAATGTAAGGTTAATAAAAACTCTTTGAAAGTAAAATCACATATTTGGTTTATTTCCTTTTCAGTGCATAAGGATCAGTTTTACTACAGTATTTCTTAAAATTTTATCATTACATAATATCTTTCTTATAAGATTTAAATTTTCTATAGAAACTTAATTATGTAGTATCTAATTAGTGCTTAGAAAAAACTATAGTCTGCTCACTCGAAGCTTGCGACTGAGGCCTAGGGTCAGCTTCCAGCAAGGCAGCTGATTGGTTGACATACGGATACCGGAGACCCACTTCAGTTCTTTGGTATTTGATCTACCGTATTGTACTGCATTTGCTATGATATTTTAAGGGATAATAATTTTCTGTGTTGATCTCAGATAATTTCCACAACTGAGAAAGCAAAAATTAGCTTGTGAAATGTAATGGTAATAAAAATATCATAAAGAGAACATGAACATCATGAACAACTTCTGGGCGTAAACTACATCACGCTGAGTGGTACAGGATGTCGTTGAAATTTTGTACATACAGTACTCTTTTTCTTGTTATGTTCAAGATATGTTATCAGAGCATTTCACTAGCTAATTTTTGCTTCCCTAAGTGTGCAAATTATCAGAGAACAACATAGAAAAGTTATTATCCCTTAAAATATCAAAATACTTTATTGTACTGTACAGTATAAAGATGATAGATTATATATACCCTAGGCCTCAGTTGCAAGCTTTGAGTGAACACACTATAGTTTTCTTGTGATTTTTTTTTTCATTTTACACATTCTATTGATATATCACAGCATCTACCATTAACTCTATATTTCACTAATATGCAGACAATGAAGCATTACTTTTTTCATAACAATAATGGTGTTAGTGGCTACTAGACATGCCACACAGCAATGATGATATGATCAAATTTTAGGCTAAAATGAATTATTCAGGCTTGTGCTGGTATGATTATGTCATTAAATGAGAATGAAAACCAAAATACGACCCAACTATAAGTTAGAAATATTGGTGCTACCTTCAATCGGCTGGATTGAGAGATTCCTTCCGCTCCTCTCCTTGAATATCTCAATATAATTGGAACATGAAATTAATTGCAATGCTAATTATTTACAAAATCAACTGCTTTAATATATTTTTTGCAAATGGCAAACAAAATAGTAACAAATAACCATTTATTTTATTGCAAAACCTTTGATCACTCAAAGTTCTTCCTGTCTTAAAGATTGTGGTCTTTTCATCCGTCTTTAAATATGAAAGACTCCAAGCAATTTTACACACTGTACTATACTGTAGTCTACTCAACTGAGGCCTAAGGTCAGTTTGTAGCAAGGCAGCTGATTGGCTGGCAGACAGATACCTGAAGAGACAGAGTTCTCTAGTATTTAATCTATTGTATTTATATTAAAATATTTTAATTGATAATAACTATTCTGTGTTGATCTCTGATAATTTCTGCACATGGGAAGCAAAAATTAGCATGTGAAACTTTCTAGTAACATATATATATTGAAGAGAACACAAACATGATGATGTACAGTAATTTAACGATGTAACTCCACCTCACTGCATGCCGTCACGCAGCTCAGTGGAAGATGTCGCTGAAATTTTGAAATATTTTTCTTGTTCTTTTTATTTTTAAGTTACCAGTGTGTTTCACAAGCTAAATTTTACTTTCCTAGATGTGAAAATTATCAGAGAGTAACACAGAAAAGCTATTCTCTCTTAAAACATTGTACAGAAACAGAATATAAATACGATAGATTAAATACTTAAGAGCTGTGGTGACTCTTTGGGTCTCTGTCTGCCAAATAATCAATTGCCATGTTACAAACTGATCCTAAGCCTCAGCTGCAAGGTTTAAGTGAACAGACTAATATGGGTATGACTTTAGGGAAGTAGTAGTCATTAATATGCATAATTAAATAGACAGGATGAGCAGAATCGAATTCAATCACCGTATCCAATACACAACAGTGGTAGCATAACAAAGCAAACATATTACTGGATTGTGCTATGCTGACTGACTACAGAAAAAAATTAACTTTCAAGTCTATGTACAGCATCGCTGTCACTGATATGAAGACTAATCTTTAACTCGGGCAATACTCGGTAACACTGTAAAAACCAACTCACAGCCTGAATAGTATTTTGTTTCCTACAAGTAGTTTTATGTAATGACACAACCAAATACTGTACTCGGTATAATATTGTTCTTTCGTGTAATTATCTCAGGGAATCTACTGCCTGATTAAATGTGTACAGGTACTTGCCTATTATTTCTACAAACCTCTTGGCATCAAAAATTGGTAACACCAGTGTGCCAATAATGATGCATGCGTGTTTCCAGTTCCAAGGAGTCTAATGTAGGTCGCTCTTGCATCTCTGCAGTCAAATCTGGTTGTACCAAAGGATAGTGTGGTGGCCGTGGTCGATTCTCTTGATAATATTTCAAGTTCTGTAGACTTCCAAATCGATGAAAATTACTATTATTTTTGGAACTTGTACTTCTGAATCTTTGAAGAGTGCTGAACTTATTAGTTGTGGCACTTAGTTTATTTTGAATCATACGAAAAGTGCCTCTACCCAGTCGAGACTTGCGCACATTATTCCTCTGGAAGTAGCCACTTGGTTCTGATTCTGCAGCCGCAGCCAAAACCAAATCAGGTGCAGAAGCAGTTGGCATGGGACTGGATCGTGAATTGGATCGTTTCAGGGTGTCTAACTCACGCATAAATAGTAATTTTGCATTGCGGGCAAGAAGATATTCCCAACTGCGAAACTGTTCCTCAGTCACCTGTGGAGAGAAATTATATACTGTACATATGTATAAATTACCTGGTAGGTTGTGTTGGAAAAAAAAAAGGTGATTACAGTATAGATTGATTTAAAAAAGCAGTGCCCAAATATTTTTTCATTTATTTGAATTATGCAAATATTGAACTATAGGACAGTAATTAAGGAAATATATATATTTTTCTATTTCAAGTTGCTACCAAGAGTGGAGTCAGGATGAGTACAATATTTTCACACCTGTCAGGGGTTGGACTCAAGAGTACTACTACAATACAGGCACCAGTAGTTTTGTAATGGAGCAAATGTCCATTCCGTTTTGCATCTGAATATTTAAGGTCTTACCTCGATAAGGCGAGTGTTAACATGTGAACCAACCACAAGCCTTGCACTGGATGCCTTGAAATACAGTTTATGATTATTTATCACATATTATTGAAAAATTTATTGTATGAATAAATTCAGAAAACAATCTACCTTACCTGTTCAGAATCATTGTCAAGGGCATCATCTTCAGATTTAGCATGATTTTTCTGGTGTGAGTGGTGCTGTCCTCCACTAACACCACTCAAGCCACTATCACTCCCTTCAGAGTCACTAGCACTATCATCAAAGCCAGCAGGAGGGGCCAAAACACCTGTCTGTGGGTCATTTTGACCCATCTGCAGATGTCCTCTCAGATGGTTTTCAGAAAATGTTGGTGATGAGTCAGGTCGAGGGTAGTGGTAGTATGTAACAGCTCTCCTTACATTGCCATTTGTATAAACTAGTTTTGCTTCTGTTTCCATTTTCTTTCCAGTTTCTTTCTTTCTTCTATTTGGATATGCATAAATATCTTCTACACTCTGCCACACGTCTTCTGTCGGTTCACCATGTATTTTTGATTCATTTATAATAGTTCTATCATGTTTATGAATATCTGCTCCATGTTCACTAAAATCACTTTGACTCTGACCACTTGGGGAAGATCTGTCTAATTCTTGAACACTTTGATTTACATCAGATCCTTCAATATTGTTTTCTTGTAATCCTACATTCAACAAGTTACTTTTATTTTTTATCTGGTCATTTATGTGGCGAGGTTTGTTGTGATTACCTACAGTGTCAATAGCACTATTAAATTTCACTCTTTGACTACTTCCAGTCTCCTCTTCTTCTAAGAATCCTTTATTTGATTCGGTAACACTTTCACAATCACCTGCTAAATTTATTGTTGTAGATTTTACTTTCATCTGAGACAAACTGGACAGCGGTAACTGGCTTTGACATAGTTCTTGTGGAGGAGTTAGTCGCACTACAATTACACTCAGAGCCTGCCGGGTACCATATGCCTGTGCTAGGTCTAAGAGGCGCTTAGCAGCTGACCCTGGCTCCTTTATTTCACTGCAAACATCGGCAGCTTCCTTTGGCCCTAACACCTCCCACAAACTGAAATAGAATAACCTCTGAAAAAACTTGGCTGTAACCCACACTTTACAACAAGCAGTGCATACTTGACGATATACAATATGGTGTGGTGGTTATGTGCTTGCAATAAAACATGGTCTGCAAATTACTTATGTTCATTGTTATTTTCTTTTATTATCAACAACTTTTGACTAATATTTTGAAGTTTACTTAATACTGTAAGAAATTTTTATCAATACAGTATTTTACATTATGCTATGAGAGCCAATACTGCCTGGAATGTTTCAAAATGACCTACAATTAAAGGACTGATGATCATCTTTTTAACTGATAGCAAAAAAAAAAAAAGTTACAACACAGGAAAAAAGTGTCCCTGCTCTTAGGGAGGCAACTAAAAAATGGTTGTTAACTGTACCAGCATGGGCTGGTCAGCACAAGGCAAGCATAATATTTCTCAGTGAGTGAGTCATTGTTAGTATATTCATACAGCTGGCTGATGGAGTTACAAAAAAACAACTTTTCCATAAACATTAAAAACAGCCTTCTGCAAACAGATTACTGAAGCTTAGCTTTGAAATTTGAACAACTAAAGCTCAATACAGTATACAACTATAAATAGCTATGGTCTTCCAACTCTATTCTAACCATGGAATTGAACATGATTCTCGGTAAGAAAAAGTATTCAATATAAATATACATTCTCTATTGGTTTTCACACAAAGTAGGAAAGAACAAATACAGACAGAAATGGATTAGGTACATACCTGGCACTGGCAATAACAACAGCTGTGAAGTGAGGTCCAAGGTGTAGCTCTGTCGTATGGGGGTCAGGGAGCGTGGGAGTCTCTGCCAACACACATCTCATTCCTTCACTACACTCACCTACAGCACTCTGTCAGAAATGCACTGAATCATTAAATCTTCATTAAAATACCTGAGTGTTCACGGTTGTTGCAGTTCAGTGAATATAAACATAACATAATAAAATGGCTATGTAAGTACATACAGGAGGTGTCCTTGAAGCAGTTGTTGTGAGCACAATGGGCTGGCCATGGGTAGTGGTTACAGTGGCAGAAACAGGACCATAACAGCACAAGCGGAGGACAGGCCAATTTCTGGGATGGGTGGCATCAGTCTCCAGATGGGCAGCGCACACAGCAGCCGGAAGACTGACACCCTGGGACCTTAGACGCCTACATTGTAGTTCCATAATTAGTTTTACATAAAGGTGTAAAAAAGGAAATATAAAATACACTACAACAATAACCCTGTATTCACATTTTTCAAGTTTCCCTAATTCCATTACTGTACACCATTGTATTTTAAAGTGAGGCAACTCTCATTCTAGTCTACTTATCTATGGATGTACTGTACTGTATATCATTGTCTTGTGAAAGTGTGGGTCACAATGACTTCTATACAGTACTGTACACCATAATCTCTTTACAATTTCCTGACCCCATAATTGAGACAGTGTCACACACATTCTCCCTCATTCTGTCACCATACATTATCATTTATCTTTATCTACATACATTCCCATTTACCTCACACAAATAGTCATTCTCTCCATATAGATACAGTGCATTACCTTTAATTATATCAAATTTGGATCCACCACACAATATTATCAATCACTTCCTTTATTATATTGTAGTCTAATACATTATGCACTACTTTGCCAATTCCATATACAGTCTTCAGTTAGGAATTATGCTACTGTATTAATGATCCTTGTTTCACTTGCATATTATACAGTACTGTACTGTACTGTACTCGTATACTGGTTGAGAACATTTTTATTTCACTTTAGTTTCTGATTTCATCTAATTCATGAGAAGACTTACTAGATCCTATTATGGTTTTTATTTTTTGGAGGGGTAAAGGAAATGCTAGATATTATAATGCACATGAAGTTTATAACAATATTAATAATAAACAACATGATAATCACCTGAGAGCTGTCAAAAGGGCATACTTGAGTGCATAAGTATGAGTGTGGGAACAAGCACATTCTTCCTGTAGCAGTGTAGGAAGTAATGCCAATAAACTCCCAACAACACCAACCTCTTGTCCACCATCAGCCAGAGCAGCCACACCTACACTCCCTAAGCCACCCACGTCTGGTACACGTAGCTGTCCAATTGTTAGCCTGTAATAATGAATATAAATTATTTTCAAAATACCAATACAAATTTAAATGAATTTTGATTCTGCATCAAGTTCATCAAATATCTTGCTACATTCCAATTATCATAAGGTACTGTACCTAGATGTCACACCATCACCTCATAGATATAAGCTGTAAATGAATAGGTAGATATTTATTCAGTAAAATCTTTGCCTCAACATGCCTGATGACAACCAGGTAACCTATGCTGAGTCCACCCCCCCCCCCCTGGTTCTCTGTTGCATTTTCTGGGCTGGTGCCCTGGGTTTAGTGGTGAGTAGAGGGGACATCCTATTCTGGTTTTACCCAACAGCTGTCATCAAGTAATCATGATTAACCAAAGAAGGCATGGAAAATGGCTGTAAAACATTAATGATGGTGATGAAAATTCTCATACAAGTTTCAATTGATTCAGCATGTATATAAACAATGCAAGTATACAAAAAAGTACCTAGACAGTGTTGGTATACAAACAATAGTACATCATAAGTCAATTTGCCTAAGGAATGCCAACAAACCTATCATATGCTTATATCCAGTAGGGTCTGACTTACTTGGAATCTCGCCCTATAGCTTCAGCAAAACCTAGTGACCAGGGCAAGTCGGAGGAAGCATCCTTGGTGTGGCCACTGCCTCTATGGTTAATATCACTCCGCTGATTAAGCTGGGAGTTGGTCTGCGGTCTTGTCAAGGGTAGGGAACGACCAGACCGGCTGGTTACATCGACAACACTGACTGGTCTCCTTGATCTGTAATTACATTATAACTAATTATGGGTGGTCTTATACTGTACAGCATTATCTAAAATGTTTTGCTATGACAATAAAGACATGCAAATGTATCAACTCGGCTTCATCTCAATAATGATTGATTCTACTGACAAGAAATTGGAAGTAATAAAAATGTTAATTAATACAAAATACACCTGTATCAAATTTACTGACTTGCACTTGGTAAACTGGTGGTGGTCAAGGGAAAGCGCAGTGTTGCCAGAGATGTCCAAAGCCACCAAGCCAGGGGATACCAGTTCTTCCAGCTCAATACGACCCAACTGGCAGTGAGACGCATCCACTACCTGTAAAGTTTTCATCGAATGCTCTATATAAGAACTGAACAGTATTTACATTTTAAAACAACATGCAATGAAGGAGATGGCTATAGCTATCAAGGTATTATTACAGAAAAACAAATACTGTACTACCGTAAGACCATGAAGAAAGAGTAATTTAATTAGTCCAAAACTGAGAGAAATTTAATCTCATATATGATACCAGTAATTTAAAGAGTAATGCAAATTCTACTGTATATGTTCATCAAAAGTTAATGAAACATATTGCAAGATTATTTAAAATCAATTATACATGTAGTTATATTTGCAGTGTCATCAGGTGACAATACTGTACAGTATTGTAATTTTTTAAATTCATACCTGAGGGTAAAACATAATAACACTCAACAAGAATAATTTATGTACCACAACAGTGAAAAAATGATAAAGTGTTGGATTAAGATTAAAGGAGTACATTACCTTCAGTGCCGACAGGTGTGCAAGGCGAGGGAGGCTCTGCAGTGGGTTTGAGTGGACCTTGAGCACCCTGAGACGCCGTAGACGGGACACACCAGCAGGCACAGCTGTCAGCTGGTTTCCTGACAACACCAGCTCCTCTAGTAACTCCCATGACCACACCAATCTGCAAGTGTTCTGGGTCACAAACAGCAAGTAGGTTGGTGATGATTTCAGTACTGTATTAATATTCAAAGATATTCAAGTTTAAATTCATCATGGTGTACCTGTCCTGAAGGCTGTTGATTCTGTTATATGGAGCATGCAGAATACGAAGAGCCCGGCAGTGCTGTAAGGGTGTCAGATCCCTGAGTTTGTTGGCAGCAGCATATAATTCCTGAAGGGACAGTGTCACTTTAGGGCTCGCAGCATCATCCCCACACATGTGCGGTGCTCCTCGGCTACCTCGACCTTCCACAGCACCAGGCAACACACTCAACTGGTTGGCACTCACATTTAACACCCTCAACCTGATCAGAGGAAAATGTAGTTACCCACAGATAAAATAACCATTCTGCATGATGATGGATTTCTTATCAGTAAGTTGCCAAAGGGTGATTCATACAAGTGTACATATGACAACAACCTATGTACTGTACAGTATATGACATAATGAAATAATCCCCTCACTTCAACATCACTTCTCCCATTCGAATAAATATGTAAAAAAAAATAACTTGTCCTTTAAAGAATGATTTCTATACTCTCCACGCACAGCACCAACCAAACTAAAACAGTGCATGAGTTCATGTATTATGATACAAAATATATATTCTGAACTGTGTACAATATATACGTTTTCTGATGTTAATTATAACACAGAAAAATTGCATAAAAGGGAACCTCAACAGGTAGTGAATAACTTTTTCCTTTCTGCTCTACTGTCATGCTATAGTAACATATCTCACCTGTTGAGCCATGAAAAAAGGTTCAGGGGAAGAGTTGTCAGTTTGTTGTGGTGGAGGAACAAAACCTCAAGTGAACACAGTCGTGGCTCCTCATGCAAATTGTGGGTATGGTGGGTTAACCTGTCAGGTACTTTAGCAGGATTATGAGAGTTATAGGCACAGCCGGAGTCCTTGAGGTGGTCGACGGTGGCCCGCTGTGGTATGGGAAAAACAGTAAGATGGTTGTGGTGTGCAGAGAGTGTGTGTAGGCGACGTAGGTGACCCGAGGTAAGGAAGGCAGGGAGGGATGTCACCTGATTGTGACTCACATCTACAAGCGTCACTTCAGTGCTAGACACCAACCACGGTGGCACAGCACTCAACTCATTCCTGAGAGAATAAACCAATCGTGTCGTAAACATAAGGTCATAAACTGTTGCATCTAAATACAGATAGAAAAAATATTTCATGAGCTAAAAATTATGATTTGAAGGATGTTGAATGTATTCCAAATCATTTGTTATAGGTTAATAATGTCATACAGACTGCAGTTTAGGACAATTCCTTTGCTTGGTATTTGACATTTTTAAAAGCATCTACTGTTCCTGGACCCCTACCTAGCCAGGTTGAGCCGTGTCAGTCGGCGTGGGTGGTAGCGTACTTCCAGCCTCGTAAGATCTGCAATAAACAACTGTAAGCTGACACGCCATGTGCTTCACAACACTCAATACTGATGACTGAGTACAGTACAGTACTAAAGACTATGACTAAAAATTATAAACAGTATACTGTATAGTACAGTATAAGTAAATAACTGTATAAAAACATATAAAATTACCCCTTTTCCGAAGACTCAGATTGTAAATGTAGCTACAACGCTTATAAGACAATGATAGGGAGTCTCAACGGTTCATACAACAAACATTTCTTGTCACTGACAAAGTAATAATTCACATTACTAGTAACTATAAAACACAAAAATTACCACCAAAAATTGCATCAAAATTATACACAAATTAAGATTCTACCTTAACTAGATATATTCTGTTAGCACCAGTTAGAAGGCAAAATTAAGGCACGGGCTTGTATCTTTAAAAAAAAATCCAGTACAGTATCTTAATTTTGTTTGGTGCAAAGTAAACCTAACCTAACCCAGATAGGGTCTCAGTTTGGATGTTATTACCCGCACTTAAGGTAGGCAATCAATAGGTGCATTAATTCATACATTGTCAGTTACAAGAAATATTAATTGAATGAATCTATGAATCCAGACTGGGAGTGACTTGGGTGAGCTTGCATGAGGACTGAGAAAAACAGTGGTGATAGGATGAGTGGGTAAGAGGATGACTGTGTGGTGGTAAGTGGTGGGCATTACTCACGGTTGTTGTTGGCGGTGAGGGAGGTGAGGGCAGCAGCGTGAAGTGTGATGGAGGTGATGGAGTTGTTGGAACATCTGAGAGAGGTGAGGGCCGCCAAACACGACACGTCCAGACTGCTGATGCCATTGTCGCTCACGTCCAGTTCCGTCACATTCTGTTGATACGTAAACATTGTTAATCCTCACTCTACTCCCCTGTATGTGCACACACACACACATAACTTCTCTTCACCACTGACCTGCCCATTACAATTACAGTTGTTTAATAAAATCGCAAATTTCTTGTAAATATAAACATGGAAACAACAAAATATTATTTAGGCTTTTGAAATGCAGATAGATTGAACTATTCATCAAAGTTAACCCTGAAAAAAACTGGAGACAGATTACCAGATCCATTACTCATCTCTGACAAGGTCTGGTTGAATGACATCACGAAGGTTCCCAACATTTCATGGAGAGACGTGACTGAATATCTGGTGGATACTACCAGTGTGTTTACGAGAGTCGATGAAAGCCTACGTCACTTGAGGCTTATGATTATTTTGTATGCGGTCATGTCCGGGATTTATTTTACTATGGTAATTCAGTGGGGGAGTGAATTCTGTTTCATCAAGTCCAAAGTAAATGTTTGCTCTTATTTTTTTCCCTAAAAATGAAGTACTGTACCGTAACATTCAGTTGTTTCAATTCAGTTTCATTCATTCAAGTCAATTCTACATAGAATCTGAAAACATTTTATCTAACGAATATTCAAACTACTTAAATAAACTTCAACAATTTAACTTTATTTACTGTTAAACAACGTGTATAAAAAAGTTAGGAATATACTTTTATCAATGTTTATATAAGTTGTCGAAGGCAGTTTTTAGCTTTGACCAAAAATAGAGTCAAAACAAACAGACAAGAATTTGTTGTGCCTAATCCTCTTTCGAAATTACATTGAACTTTCTAAAATTAAAACAGATTCCAAAAGTTAAATTAAATACACAAATTCTTACCAGAAACAAAAAGTTCTCCACAAATCATTGCTCGAGATACTTAGAGACCAGTCTTCTCTTCTGGTGGCAGAGATCCAAGCAACGCTTCTTCGTTTCCCGATTGGAGATTTACCTTTTGGCATGCGATGAAATGACAAAGATTTGTGTTGTCCAATTATTCTATTCATACAGTCTACGGCATAGCAACTGTGGGGCATTCTAGCGTATTTAAATCGTCGAAAACTACAATAGCTTACAGATAAACTTTGGTGGAAGTGTTGATCAACATACGATATTTGTTTTGTTTTGTCTCACAGGATGCGCGCGCATCATTCCGGATCAGATGTAAACACTGACAAGGGGTGGCGGGGTCTTTTGTTTCAAGTGTTCACACTCCGGAAAAGTTTGCCCTGACAAATTCTGAACTTGTGGCTTCTTCAGCCTTAAGCTGAGACCCCTAGTGGGGTGGGCACCCGTCATCACTATCACTTAAGACTTACTATTTAAAGCATGTCTAATTGAATTGGTTATAATCTAAACTACATCACTCGGTTTACTCGGTTATGAACGATTCGCTTATTTCACCCGAAGATTAACCACCCTAATATTACATGAGGCGTTAGGTTAAATTAGGTTGGGTTGGTTTGAATTTTCATTATGGTGGTGAGGTTAATTTTCAGGTGATCCGTGCAAACAACGCGTATGTAACAAATTTGTACATATTTTATCCAATTCGCCTCTATACATTATAGTGTGCCTAGCTGTAACTGGTTGAAGGTAAGTGCCGTGTCCACCATAAAGCTCAATCAACTGGTGCATTGTAAACACAGCTGGCTGGTTGTCTGGTTCCCCACCTGACAATTAAATCTTTCTAAGCTGGAAATTTTGGTGTCGCGGTAAGGTAAGGTTTGGTATTAATATACACTTTACTTAATACTCTTCACAACTGATCGGCCTGTTAACCACTTGGATGGTCAGTCACGTCTCTATTACACACTGCTGGCAAGTAAGGTGCTAGGCATGAACTGGCTCCTGAATGAATTTGTACTTACGTCAGTATTTTCACCAAGTTTTATTGGTCATATAAAAGTACAGCCACTGATGGTAGTAAACTAACAGGAGGGAGGGGGGTGTCACTTGCCCCTGAAAAGCGCGCTAAGTTCTGTACACTTTACTAAAATCTCAGTCGAAACGCTCAAGCGTCCCCCTCACCTCAACACCCCCTTGAGAACCACACAGCTCAACAGAACAGGCACAAATCACGAAGATGCTATCCATTGGGCATAGCAGATTGATGAATAATGGTTTATAACAGAACCAGCGCCAGGGAGGGACCCTTGATCTAGGTAAAGAAAGGTCACGACATTCGAACACGGAGGAAGTTGTGGTTATCAAGTTGGAGCCTGTTATGACAATCCCTGGGGCGTGAAGAGAAATATTACTTAAACTTCCCTAAAAGTGTACGAGGCATTTTGTTGGAGAGGGATGTCGATTTTCTAAAGCTGAATGTGGAGTCATCCAATGGAAGAGCTATTGTAACGCTACAACTTGGAGAGTTTGAACTCGTGTTCCTTTCTGATTTGCTGATTATACTTCTTTGAAAACGTTAGATGGTGAAAACCCTGACCTGGGACGACACTGTCCCATGCAGTGTTTCGTAAATTTGGCTAGATGCCTGGAACCAAACCTTAACTAACAGCGCTATCCACAGCAGGGATGTACCTATACAATTAGGTTATGACAACTTGTTATACATATTTTATATATTATACAGTTTCAATGGTGACTGTGACGACCAACCTTGAGATGAGAGCCGTCCAGAACGAGGACTCTGGGGCGGAAGTCCTTAGGATCGTTTCTGCTCCAGCGTGAGGGGCTGAGGGCGAGGCGGAGGGCCCCCAGTGGCATACCCTCAGCCACACTTTCCCGCCGCTCACCTCTGTTGACCTGACCACTGACGATGGCCTTACACGTATCTACCCCCATCATTACTGGAGGTGGTGTTGGGGGCACTTATGTGCCCTGTAACACTAGCAGGATGTTACCGCTGCTTCTTGGCATACTAGTGTCACCACCACCTGGCATTCGCCACCACCCACATGATACATCACCAGCGCTCTTTCCCTGTATCGCCAATTTCCTTAATAATAGTTCTTATACTGTTATTGCCTGATAACACGCTAGTATGTGAAGAAAGTCATACCCGCACCTCACTTGTACCTCAGTGTGATACAATACCCGAGCACACACAACACTGCACCACCACTCATGGCAATTTCTTATTAACAAAAAATGCCCAACGTCACAGATGGAGGTCAGAGGCGGGTAATCATATCACACATTAGCATGCCATGAAGGGCGATAGTGGCATGTCACTTCCCAGTCCTTCTCCGGGAGGGGGCGGGGATGGAGGCACAACTCAACCTCGCCTCGGTGAATAAATTATCTCGTACTTTCTGTGACATACAGGATTCATCGTTCTTAAGCTGAGTATTAATTCTAAAATACTGTTCTCAATTAAAGATAAATATACTGCATATGTCTATTTTCAACTGTATATGTAATTTTTATCTGCTTATTTTTCTTCTTGTACAGTATAATTATGTTGTTTACTATCTGTAACACCAGTAACCTAGAAATCATCCAAGTTTTAACATTTACTTTGAAAAACACATCAACAAAGTCAAGTTCTAGCTTGGGGTCAGTCAATGTGTGTACAGGTAAAGATAAGCAACAGGCGGGCGTGTGGTGGTGAGGCCAGGCGACGAAAAGAGGTCTCGTGGCCACCGCAACAAGTTAGGCGGACGACGGCGCCAACACAACTGGGGGAGGAAGGGAGGAGCCACTAACTACACCCCAACACCGCCTCACATACACCCCTCCACCTCCCCGCCCTCACACTCATACTACATTCCCAAATCGAGAAACTTATAATAAAATAATAAAAGATGAAATAAATTAATATAAACCAAAAGCGTGTCACCGTCACTGAGGACCCGTAGGCATGAACACATTACGTAAATAGTCACATCAAGTTTTATTTCAAGATCTTTACCGGCTAAGAAGGTACATACATACAGTAGTACACAAGATTGCCAATGGACAGAATCGGTGTTTAGTATAGGGTCACCCCACATAAGGGTTCTGATCATGCAGACGGAAGGGGGGGGGGGTGTTCAGTCGACTTGAGATAGACTCAGGAACCGTGTCTGACATACTGTTGAAGAGTAAACAAACTAACAATACCGGTTCTACACCTTCTTTTGATTTCAATGACTGATTTTACAGACAGACAAAAACGTTCAACTATTATTCATTTAACTGTTACAATCATCAAGGCGGAAATAAGACTAAATTCACGATGGTAAAACGGCCTGAAAAACACCGACACAGAATTAAGACAAGACCTTAGCGAAACAGATCAACAACATCAGTCTATATACCCAACACAACAGGTCACCAACGCAACACCACATAATTCGAGACCTTTTACCGCGTGACGCCCAAATTATCTCACCGCCTCCCTCTTATATTGTTACAATTATCTCTAATTTACTCATTATCATTACATCATACCTTCTTTGTATTCCGTTGCAACACCTTCTTACGGGTAATTATTAAAGACGCTGGTGTAAAGTTACGAGAGGGTAGAGAATGGTAAAGAGATGCAGGTAATGGAGGCAAGTGATCGTGGTGGATTAATATTCACAAAGTGCCCACTAGAATGTGTCCAGTCGAGTAGAGAGGAGGGAAGGGTGACGGGCTGCAGTACTAACAACCTGCCTGACGGTGCCCCACGCTCAGGAGGATAATACTGTACGTTGGTGAGGGGGGTAGATATGGAAAACCTGTTGACAAGTTTCACCCTCTAGTACTGACACGCGCACAATAACAAACGTAGCGCGTGAGGTTAACTCTGGGGATATAACCATTGACAATTACGAAGACCTGAGAATTGCCTGAAGATTAGCCCTCCTACGCAGCATATTTCACATGTAGATCAACCACCCTAATGCTAACCTAACGTAATTCTATAACCTACCATAACGTAACGCTAACCTAACACAACTTAACGTAAAGTAACTTAAACCTAACATAACTAACGCCAACCTGACTGAATCTAACCTAACATAACCTAACCGCCATACCAATTGTATCTAAAAAGGCAAAATACTGTGTGTAAAGCAGCGGAAAACACACACACATAGACCATCAGTTCCAGTACTTGGGCGTAACATCAGGTGGCGGGAGAAGTGTATAAAAAAAATTCTATAACAAAGAATTTAGAGGTAAACTTAATCTTTTATTGGAGATGAGTCATGATTGTTTTTGTGAGAGAGAGGAAGGAGGAGGGAAGAGAGAGAGGGAGACACGACGATGATGGTGAAAGACAGATAAGAGCAAAGAAAAGTTAGTGTAGTAGTTAGTGGGTCGTGACGGAGGGATGGAAGTGGTGGTAGTAATAAACGAGTAATGGCTGTTAAAAAAAAATCCTTCCTCCAGACTAAACTACCCTCTACTGACACTTAACTAGGGCGAGGTAGTTATCACAGCATCAGTAAATGACAGGGGATGATAACTAGATGTTGACAGTACAGTAGTTATCAAGATTTTTACCCGTGAGACAGGAGGGACGTTGTCAGTACAGTATATTACTCCCAGGAGGCGGATTGGTTAAGGGAAGGTAAGTGGTGCCATCTATAGTGCTGATGTTAAAAGTGTGACGACGATGCTGAATGAGTCTGCAGTTGTTGGGGACTGAAGGTAAGGGAGGAGAGACGGGGGGGAGAGAGGGAGTGAGGAAACATTCTCTTCTAGCTGTAGGAGGAAGTATCAGGTCATTCTTACTTCACCCTAACGCGAACATACCTTAACCTAACCTAACCTGACCTAACTTAACCTAAACTAAACTAACACACCCTGACCTAACCTAACGATAGTGTATAGGCAGCGGAAGGGCGGCGTCTCTGGTGACATACTCCCGCCAGCCATCCATGTCTCCTCCAGCCTCACCGGGCCCGTTACACAGACATCCCTCCCTCACCCATCACCAGCCCTCACCCATCACCAGTCCTCACCCATCACCAGCCCTCACCCATCACCAGTCCCATCCCTCACCCATCACCAGCCCTCACCCATCACCAGTCCTCACCCATCACCAGCCCTCACCCATCACCAGCCCTCACCCATCACCAGCCTTCACCCATCACCAGCCCTCACCCATCACCAGCCCTCACCCATCACCAGTCCTCACCCATCACCAGCCCTCACGCACTTCACCAGCCCTCACGCACTTCACCACACCCACCATGAAGACAGACATATATGAAACAGAAATAACAATCTTTTACAATATTACCAACGTCAGAAGTCACACCCAGTTATACCCCAGTCTGTGTGTGTGTATGTGTGTGTGTGTGTGTGTGTGTGTGTGTGTGTGTGTGTGTGTGTGTCCCACCTGTAAGAGTTAACATCTGTCACCTGTAAAAGTTAACATCTGTCACCTATATGAATCACACTCGTCAAAAGACTAACTTTCGCCCCTCGACTGATAACTTTCTCTCATACATCAGTTGGTACCCGATAGAAAGTAAATATATTATAATCCTCAATAAAAGAAAGGCGTAGAGTGTGTGACAGGTGAGTGATAGAGCCCAGCCAGTATTTGGTATTTACCTTTTATAGGTTACGTGTTGAAAGTCCTCCACGAGAGAGAGAGAGAGAGAGATACAAACAGAAAGACGAATAGAGAGAGGGAGAGAGCCAGCCACCGCTCACCTGTATGCTAGCGAGCGTGACAGGGCCAGTTAGACTGTTCAGGCGGAGGTTTAGCGTAAGGGGTTCATTTTCCTGTAGATGGTTCTCCTGCTCCTGTTCCTCCTCCCTGCTGGGGTTGTGATGGAGAGCCAGGACCTCGGCTCTCCCTGTCGGGTCTTCTCCACCCGCCGTCATCACCCCCAGACCCGGTACAGCGCTTAGCCTATTGCCACACACGTCCTGTACAGAAAGATACGGGAAGACATCAGTGTCATCCATTAGCTGAAAGTGTTTGTATGTGTCTGTCTATCTGTCCAGGACCCAGGTTGTGAGAGTCCAGGATCCAGGTTGAGAGAGGTGGTTGAAACCAACTCAGAAGGACTCACCAGGGTCCTAAGGGCCTCCATAGTGGCCAGTTCGGGGGCGTCAATGATGTGGTTGTGAGCTGCCCGCAGGTGGGCGAGGGCTGGCAAGCCGCCCACGGCGAGGGCTGGCAAGCCGCCCACGCCCGCACCCACACCTGCCAGTTGGTTGTAGGACACGTCCAGCTCCACCAGTCTGTAGCAGATAACACTAATGGTGAGAAACACACAACAAAACACCATTTATAACACAACTGCTTCCTCACTTATTATCAGTAGTAGTAGTACTGGTATTTCATAACTAAACATACACGTGGATGTTGGCGCCTGGGTTACAACACACTTAAGTACATGAATTATTAATGTCTTGGCGCGACCGAGTTCAAATCCTCCCTGACGAGGCACACACCCCATATAGGTGACCAAGAGGAATACAATACTATATACATTTGTCTTTTATAGTTGTGTTATGTTATCTGATGAAATGAGTTAAGTTTGGTTAGGTTAGGATTGGTTGGGTTACGTTAGACAGCCAAGGGAGTAGTAACATGGGCGAGGGGTAGGGCGTGGTGACGTGGGCGAGGGGTAGGGCGTGGTGACGAAGGCGAGGGGTAGGGCGTGGTGACGTGGGCGAGGGGTAAGGCGGGGTTACGTGGGCGAGGGGTAGGACGGGGTGACGGGCGTGGGGTAGGGCGTGGTGAGGTACCTGCTGAGGGTAGCGAGGGCGTGAGGAAGAACGCGCAGTTGGTTGTGGGCGAGAGAGAGGCGGGCCAGGGCTGGGAGACTCAGCAGACAACCTGGGAACTCCTGTAGCCTATTCCTCGCCAACACCACCACCTGTAGGGCGAAGTCAACGGCTATAGTTCAGGACTACTGTACTTTCGTCTCAGAGTACAAATTAGCATATAATTTCAGTCTGTAGTTATGCCTGCCAAATACACACGACTCACGCACCTGTAGATTAAACACCCGAGCTTATTTCACCTGAAGATTAACCACCCAACGGTACCTGGGAGCGGGGGGGGGGGGTTAGATCAGATTAAGTTAGGGTGGTTAATCTTCAGGGGAAATAAGCTGGGGTTGTCTAATTTTCAGGTGTAAAAAATTTACCAGGTGTTTGATAAAAAAAAACCCCTAGTGCTGACAAGTCGCCCCCCCCCCCTCCCCGTAAAGCTTCAGGTTGCTTGAGTTCATTATTTATATATACAGTAATTACGTCACACATTATGAGATCACCTGAAGCTGCTGGAAGTGCCTGAGGTAATGTAGTCCACCAAGTACCCTGCCTGGGGAGGTCCTCACGCCTCCCCCAGCCTCCGTGATGATCCCCTCACACCCACTCTCACTCTCCTCAACACCAGACGAACTGCTCTCTTCATGTCTACCTCTCACACCGTCTTCACTCTTAGTCTTGTGTTCTGCTGTGTAATTCACTCCCTCTTTAGGCGTGAAGGTGTGCACAGTTGGGTGTGGTACACTAACATCAGCTGCAGCTGTGGTGGGTTTAGTGCCGCGGACTGCAGCTGTGGCGGGCTTAGTGCTGGGTGCAGCAGCTGTGCCTTCGTCTTCAACAGCAAGTCCCTCACTTTTTGCTCTTCGTAGGCGGAGTTTAGCTTGGAGCTCGTCTGCGATGCTCTCAAATACTGGACTCGGTTTGTTTCCTGAGGGTGTGGCAGAGTCAACACCTGAAACTACCTGACTACCCGTCGGTGACTCTTCCCCTTTTATGTGCTTGGCATCACCTGCCTCAGTGTCTTGGTCACTCCTGTGGGCGTCCTCCTCGACGGGATCAGTAGGCACACCAGAGTCACCACTCAGGCCATCATCTTCCACCACTTGCTTGGGTTTGGCCCCTGCCTGTTGGTGACCGTCATCGCCGGTACCTGGAGGTCGGGGTCTGCTGGTGGACGTCTCCCGGGACTCAGGATAAACTTGGCGACGTCGACGGTCCCTTCTTCTTCTGCCTCGTCCCGCCTGGCGCTTCCTGTATGTGGTGGAGGGTGTAGGAGTGAGCAAGTTGTGGGAGAGGTTAATGCTGGTCAGATGGAGGCTGGAGAAGAGACTGGTGGGAAGCCGTTCCAGGTGTCTGCCAGACAGGTCTACCTCAGCTCTCCTGCGTGTCTCACCTCCTGCTTCTGCCCCAGGCTGTAGGAGACAGAAAAACACACACGTGTAAATAATAGACCAAGTTTGGTTAACCTGGTTGAGAAACGGATTTCTGTTACAGTACTTGAAGACATTGTAAAGTTAAGGTGTGTGTGTGTGTGTGTGTGTGTGTGTGTGTATTAGCAGGTGGATGTTTAGAAAAGTGAGTGTGGTGTACATAGGCGTGGTGGGGGAGAGTATAGATTGGTTCAGTCACAACTACGCTTGGCTGAACGTGACGCTGTCTGCACCAGGACTAAAGAAATGAACACAATTCGTGGCAGGTGTGGATGTAGTGTAAGGAAGCTGGAACACCTCCCCTCCCTCCCTCTCCCCATCAGTAATGTTCCAGCGCCACCCCACACACCTCATTACCTCCCTCACTGGGGTCTATCACACTCTTGCACCTTTTTGCCCATCACAACCATGATTCATCCTCGTGTATAAGTTCACCCCATCACACAGTACACCGCTACCCCAACACACCATAAAAGGTCCACTCCGAATGGTTACCAACGTCTGTAATGACCTGACCTAACCTAATCTAATCTCGACTGCTGTGCTTCCCTTTGATCAGTACACCACTATACATCGTGGCTAATAGTATACAATAAAATAGACTGTACATGGATCTCACAATAATTATGTGTCAGTGGATGATCGTGTGGTTATCAATATTAAACTCTGAACTTCATATCATGCCAGGCTTTCTCTCGCTCCTAATATCACTAGAGAGAGAGAACGTGTGTGTGTGTGTCGCTCTCACCATCACCACCATCTGTATATATCACCACCATAACGTCCATCATCACCATCACTACAACCTCCTCTACAGTATTACTATCACCACCACCTCCTTCACCACCACCAACAGAAGGGGAATGAACAAAAGCATCACACTCTCTTATCCCGACTGTGAGTTTATGGAACACACTGGTTTCTCACTCATTGTTTACCTGGCCTGGGTCACACACACACACTCACCATGTTTTTGAGAATGCCACGTCGGGAGGCCCTGGAGCTGTGGCCTCGCTGGTCCGCCATACTGTAATTCGCCTCCACCGCCACTTTTAACACCAGCTACAGCCTTCCTCCTCTTCCCCCTCACATCACTTATCCCAGTCACAGACACAAGTCCCTTTATAATCCAAACTTTATCACATGGACAATGGTAAACTAACACGGTGTCTTTGGATAAGGTGAAAATATCCAGTTGGTTTCGCTCGCTTTAGTAAGAATTAGTATTACGCAAATTAATTGAAATGTGTACTAAGAGGGATGAAATAAGTCAACAACACATGTGGTCTTCCTTCAGATGGTCATATATGTGTTGTTGGTGCAGTGTTTTTGTTCCTGCCATCACTAGGCGTTGAGGCACCTAACTGTTCTTTCTTCAGGTTATCACAAACACACTAACCAGATAAACCAACACTGTATAACACTTAACCACGATACACATTTGCTGCCTCTTATAGTCTACACAATCCAACATTCTTATTGTATTCTAAACCTCTTCACATTGGAATATATTTTGAGTTCTTTTCTTTTACAATACCTAATAGATCTTTTCTTTTTTGTTTTACTAGAAGAAACATTTAATACAATTGTCTTCACTGTTTCTCGAAGTAATTTATCAGAAGGGTAAGAGAAGGTCGCGAGCCAACGTTCACACCAGCACGGGGGCCAAACCTACACTGGATTACCATAAGCCGGTGATGGTGCGCGTGCGTGACCATCTTTAATGTGCTTATTACAGTAGCACAGCACGATGACACCTACCCCCCTGAACCCCACCCGCCCTCACGATCTCCTGATGGGGGGGAAGTGATATCGTCAGGGTGTTCCTCCGTCTTTCTCCTCTTGATTTTGGCAGTGAAGAGACAAGGACGTATATTTCAAGGTAAAGGTGTGTATGTGGTAAGCAGGTGTTTTGTGTGGAGTAAAGGCGACTGTGGTGATGTACTCGACTTTTGGTGACACGCGTTGAGCCCCCCCCCCTTCCCCTCGACACGTGGCAGATCACAGCACGCGTCTCTTGCGGGGGTCATGCTAGCTGACTCCTACCTCGGCCCCTCCCTCCCTCCCTCCCTTCCTCTCCTGGCGTGCTGGTGCTTGTGCCGGGAGGCTGAGAACTGCACCGGAAAGCTGAGAATTGTACCGGGAGGCTGCTGATTGTACCGTCGTAATAAGGCTCAGCTGCAGCATCACCAGGTGGATGACTCAAGCGACCTAGTTGGGCTCTCTCTCTCTCTCTCTCTCTCTCTCTCTCTCTCTCTCTCTAAATTAAGTTAGGTTAGATTAGATCAGGTTAAATTAAGTTAGATTAGATCAGGTTAAATTAAAATAAATCAGGATTAGGTTAGGTTTAGTCGTCCTGGAGATGAAGTTTCCAATAGATAATGCCTAGTTAACCTCAGAGTCGCGGCGCCTGATGTGACTCGCCAAAAGTCAAGCTCTAAATGTGATTAAAATAAGCGAGATCCGAGGCATTGAATTAGCACAGTGTATAAAAGGTCCCACCCCTTACCTGTCAATGGCCCACATGAGGTTCACACACTCCACGCACTCCAGTCACCACACACACTCACTCCAAGCACCACACACACACACACACACACACACTCCACGCAATAGGGCAGGTATAAAAACAATGGTTAACAATAACTCGGGATTCCCTGGCAGGAAGTGTGTGTTCAAACCATCCCAGCGCCCGCACGACTCTTGAGAGATATTTACATTGTTGTATCTCTCACTGAATAAGACTGAGAAGGACTCTAACTGGCTCACTTATAACAAGGACACACACACACACACACACACACACACACACACTGTTTGAACTAGGTCCTCTCACAATTGCCTGACCAAAAAAGAACTATCGTAATGTTAAAAAAAATTAACTATACAAAATAAGAATAACAAATAAGGGAAAAAAATAGTAAATAATTAGAAATAGAATAAACAAGATACTGAAATAAACAACAAAATCAATTATAAGAGAGACGGAAACAGAGAGAGAGAGTTATAAAGAAAGTAAAAACAGGAGGAGGAGAGCAAGTCAGTAATCCAAGGAGAGGTCAGGAGAAAGTGGTTGTGTAGTGAGGAGGGAGGGAGGGTAAGGGAGAGAGTAAGGGAGGGAGGGTAAGGGAGGAGGGTAAGGAGAGAAATAAGGAGGGAGGGCAAGGGAGAGAAAGTAAGGAGGGAGGGTAAGGAGAGAAAGTAAGGAGGAGGTAAGGAGGATAAATAAGGGAGGAGGGGTAAGGAATAAGTAAGGGGGAGGGTAAGGGAGAGAAAGTAAGGGAGGGAGGGTAAGGGAGAGAAAGTAAGGGAGGGAGGGTAAGGGAGAGAAAGTAAGTAAGGGAGATAAAGTAAGGGAGGGACTAAATGGAATAGAAGATAGATAGGGGGCTGGGATGGAGTTGAAGGAGAGGTGGATGGAGGGAAGGAAGGAGGGAGGGAGTGGGAGGAAGAGTAGTAGTGGAGAGGGGGGGGATGGGTGGGAGGGGGTGAGAGAAGAGCTTCCCCCACTCCCCCTCCTCCTCCTCACATCACCACCACAGTACCCCCACCAACATGAACTCTCGGTGATCTGATATTTAAGGTGGAAGAGAGAGAGAGAGAGAGCTGAGCAATTACACCAAGATCGAATTGAACAAAGACGACCTGGGTATTGGCTGCAGTATATACCCTGGTGTGTGTGTGTGTGATGTTGGTTATGGTGCTAGTTGTGGTGCCGGAATGGTATTGGTGGTGTAGGAGTGGGCAGTAATGTGAGGTGTTTGGTGTGTATCATGGTGCCGAAGGTGGTGCCTGCAGTGGTTTAGGCAGGATGATCGCTTGTGCCCGGCGGGATATAGCTGGGAGTGGGGGGGACACCTCTTATTCTTCCTCCTCCTCCTCCTCCCAGCTGTAAAGAGGTAATGGTGGCCTGAACCTCACTAACACCACCTCTTCTTCCCTCGCCTCCATCACCCTCTCTCCTTCCTCACTTCACCACCTACAGAAGTACACACCCCGACCTGACCTTTCTTAAACACACACACACACATACACACACCCACACACACCACACACACCACACACACCACTCTCTACACGTGTCTTAGGGCGGTGTGTTTACATTGGTGGTGGTACAGGCAGACGGTGGAAGGAACGTCGTGCGTACCTGACTGTGTGGGCGTGGTGCTCCAAGGCCTACCTCTACCCCCTCCTCCACTACCTCATCATCATGGCCTCTTCACTCACACACCACCAACCCTTCCAACCTCCACCAACATATCCAAACCCCATCACCACGCCCACTACCCACGCCGCCCACACAGTGCTACCTAGAGATAATCACGTCTGGTTAGGTTAGGTTCCTCAAAAGTATATAATGTGAAGACTAATAACAACTAGACGACTTATACAGTACTATAGCAAGACATAACACCCCGTCCACCACACTGCATGAAGGATAATACACTTAACCTAACACTGACAGAATTATCCTGATCCTGTCTATGGATGTTTGTGTTTATGAAGGATCGCCGCCTCAGCATCCGGGTATAAGATGAGGACACAGGGGTACGGATATTAACCCCCCCCCCACCCTGCCAATCCCCCCTTACCTGGATATTAGTTACTCTCTCAGATTAGGCCGATTAGGTTAGGTTAGCGGTAAGGTGAGAGATTTCATCAGCACCCCCACGCTGGCCTCCCCAGCACCCCCATGCCACCTTTTCCAGCCTTCACGCCATTCTCCAGTACCCACGCCACCTCAAGCACTCCCACGCCTCCTCAGCCTCTATCGCCACCCCCAGCACTCCCCCACGCTGGCCTTCAGCTCCCACGCTACCTTCAGCTCCCACGCCACCTCAGCACCCCATGCCACCTCAGCACCCCATCACACTTTCAGCACCCCATCGCCAATTTCAGCACCCCACGCCACCCTCAGCACCCCATGCCACCCTCAGCACCCCATGCCACCTTGGCTTACATGAGACAATGTCGTCTGATGGTGTTCAATTGTCGACTCTCTTAAGTTATTTAAATCAATCAGACACAACGCCGTGCAACAACACCGCCCTAAGACTGGCGGCCTGCAGTGGCGACTCTACATTCGGCGGGCTCGCAGTGGCGACTTAAGACGGCGGTGGCCTGGCAGGCGACTCTAAGACTATGGCCTGCAGTGGCGATTCTAAGACTATGGCCTGCAGTGGCGACTCTAAGACTATGGCCTGCAGTGGCGACTCTAAGACTATGGCCTGCAGTGGCGACCCTAAGACTATGGCCTGCAGTGGCGACTCTAAGACTATGGCCTGCAGTGGCGACTCTAAGACTATGGCCTGCAGTGGCGGGTGGTGGAGAGGGGAGGAAAAGGAGGGAATGGAGACCGAGCCAATACCCTCTGTCATGGCCTTATGAATCATTACCTGATCACTGACAGCCACTCATAGCCACTCACAGCCACGGAACTCAGGAACTCAGGCCAGCGGGTCACTCACCGGCCACTCATTATAACTGCTGGTGCTGTTATTACAAAATGAAATAGTACAGAGGTCGTATATGAGTACTTTGTTATGACGTTGTGTATGGTATTCCCGTCCAGTATTCTAACGGTGTTTAATGTTAGGTTAGGTTAGGTTAGGTTAGGTTAGGTTAGGTTAGGTTAGGTTAGGTTAGGTTAGGTTTTCAGTTTCTTTGTCTTTTTTCTTTCTAATTTTTCTCTCCCTTTTATTTTGGTGTGTGAGGTTATTTTAGGTTAGGTTAGGTTTTTTCTTCTTTCTTTTCCTTTTTTTCTGTTTTTTTTTGTTTTTGTTTTCGATTTTATTTGGTTTATTTTGGTGTGTGAGATTAAATATACTAGTACGTGAATCCGGAAATATTGGACTGTTAAGATACCTGAGCGTGGAGAAGAGAGGGAGAGTGCAGCAGCCGGTTAAATAATGATTACATTACCGGGTCCGTTAAGCCCGACCTTTGCATGACTGTCCGGGGCAGATTAAAAACACCGAGGTTCAATTCTCCTCAAACAGTGAAAAAAGTTCCTCATGAAAACACGG